TACATATGTATATGTATGGTTTCAACTGACTGTATTGTGATAGTTTATTTCTCTTAAAAACTATTAAAAGGCAAAAATGTTAGGATTTAACAGAGTTAAGAGAAGAGTATACAGATAACCATTGTATCACTCTTCATACTTTGCTTAAAATATCTCATGTTAAAGTTGGGCGTGGTGGCGCGCGCCTGCAGTCCCAGCCACTCGGGAGGCTGAGGAGGAGAATCACTGAGCCCAGGAGTTCAAGGCTGTACTGCGTATGTGTGCGCTTGTGAACAGTCACTGCGCTCTACCTAGGGAAACAGAGCAAGTCCCCGTCTCAAAAAAAACAACAAAACAAAAGAAACCAAAAAAACCCCACAAAGTTCTATAATCTTCCTCACGACTCACAAAAATAACAAAATATGAAAAATCTTTTATTAAAATATATGAAAACATACCCTCCACACACCAAGAATTCATTTGAAGCACGTCTGCCAGCAGTTCCCATTGGCACGTCATCTAAAGGAGAGAAAAATATTATCAGTTCTGTTGTATCTCATGCTTAAAAATGCAAACTTTGTACCAACATGATTATTAGAAAACAATGTAAACACAATGCAAATTTACCATTTACTTCTGTTGTGATTTCATCCATAGGAAATAATAAGTGACCACAGGAAAATGCACCCAGCTGAATAGATAGGCTGCAACCCTCTGGATACCAACTTCTATAAGTAAACTTGAGGTCTTTTTCAAGATAAAGTGCCATATTTATTGCAGTGTTTATGTATTTCTTCATCACTTAACATGCGAAAAAACCGTGCTATTGTTTTTATCAGATTCCTGTTCATGTGTCAGTGACTAAATTCCATCTTGCCCATAAGTTCTGTGGTTTTTATCGCACAATTTTGCATAGACCACGTACATCCCATTATAGCAGAATGAATGTGTAACAAAATCTAGTTGAATATAATGTTGGGAGTACCCCTTCCTTCTGCATAACACTCTTTCAGGTCTTGCATGGGTTGTTGAGCAAGATGTCCTGGAAACGGGCCTCCTAAACACAGTAGCACATGACACAGACCATCATCATCTACCCCTGCATCATATACAGGAGTAGAGCGCAGCTGAGAACTCAGGGCCTCCTTATTCCCTGTCAGTTATATCCACTATATCACATTGCCCTATGTGATTTTAAATGGCTGTAAGGTATAATTAATATGCGTTGATGTGAAATAGCAGTGTTGATCAAATAATATCAACCTTTAAAAATAAAATAAACAGGCCGGGCGCGGTGGCTCACGCCTGTAATCCTAGCTCTCTGGGAGGCCAAGGGGGGCGAATTGTTTGAGCTCAGGAGTTCGAAACCAGCCTGAGCAAGAGCGAGACCCCGTCTCTACTAAAAATAGAAAGAAATTAATTGGACAACTAAAAATATATAGAAAATTAGCCGGGCATGGTGGCGCATGCCTGTAGTCCCAGCTACTCGGGAGGCTGAGGCAGGAGGATCGCTTGAGCCCAGGAGTTTGAGGTTGCTGTGAGCTAAGACAACGCCACGGCACTCTAGCCCAGGCAACACAGTAAGACTCTGTCTCAAAAATAAATAAATAAATAAATAAATAAAATAAAATAAACTATGCTGCTAACCTATACTCAAAAAGGGAGGAAAAAATCACAAATATCCCTTTGAATGGGGAATGAGAAATGCATTTATTTGGCACATCTCTGGCCCCTGGTCTCATGAAGCTTACATTCTAGTATTGAAAGAACATAATAATGTCAGATAGTGTGATAAGCAGTACTACAGAAAATAAATCAGGGTAAGGGAACAACGAGCCATGGGGCAAGGGAGAAGTCTATTTTAAAAGACAATATAGTAGGCCAGCCAGGTGGTGGCTCAAGCCTGCAATCCCAGCACTCTGGGAGGCTGAGGTAGGAGGATCACTTGAGGTCAGGAGTTCCAGACCAGACTGACCAAGAGTGAGACCCCGTCTCTGCAAAAAATAGAAAAATTAGCTGGGCGTGGTGGTGATGCCTGCAGTCCCAGCTACTAAGGGAGACTGAGGCGGGAGGATTGCTTAAGCCCAGGAGTTTGAGGTTGCAGTGAGCTATGATCACTCCATTGCACTCCGGCCCAGGCAACAGAGCGAGACTCTGTCTCAAAAAGAAAAGAAAAGAAAACAATCCCTAGAAATCAAAAATAAAGACACCTAACTATATATCAACTTGGTAGCTTTATCACCAGAGGGAAGTTATTGCAAGTGACCTTAAAACTCAGTAACTTGATTGCATATCCTTAATGGGATTATCCTAAGAACAAACAGATCATAGAAATATTTTAAATGGCTTTTAAATTTTAAAAGCCATTTGAAAATGGCCACTTGGTGCAGTGGCTCACGCCTGTAATCCCAGCTCTTTGGGAGGCTAAATTGGGAGGATAGCTTGAGGCCAGGAGTTCAAGACCACCAGCCTGGGCAACATAGCCAGACACTGTCTCTACAAAAAAAAAAATTTTAAATCATATTTTAAATAATACTCATAGTGTTATTTTGAAACTATAGGGGGAAAGGAAAGGAAAGAAAAGAGCCTAAACTCACAAGGGCAAAAAGAACAGAAAGTCCATAGCCACAAATATTTGGAAGCCAGAAAGGTGATGGACGAGTGGTATTTGACATAGTAGACCCAAGAAAATACTATCTTCAGCCAGCTGAAAAGCCCAGACATCACAGAACCCCGCAAGGCTAATTAGCAGCACCAGATACTTTTCAGAGTGGCACTAGAGGTAGGACTAAGTACAGGATTGTTTGAAAGCCTATTTAGAAGCAGTTAGAATGTAATTAATAATAGCGTTTTATACTCAGGATTTTTGCTAAATGAATAGATTATAGGTACTTACACCACTGAGGGAAAAACGGGTAAGTGAAAACTCAGCACTTTGGGAGGCCAAGGTGGGAGGATCGCTTGAGTCCAAGAGTTTAAGACCAGCCTGGGAATGGGCAACATAGTGAGATCCTGTTTCTACAGGGAAAGTTTTAAAAAATTAGCCGGGTGTGGTGGCACACGTCTGTAGTCCTAGTTACTCAGGAGGATGAGACAGGAGGATCCCTTGAGCCTAGAAGTTTGAGGTTGCAGTGAGCTATGATCACACCACTGCACTCCAAACTGGGTGACAGAGTGAGACACTCTCTCAAAATAAAAAAACAAACAAAACAAAACAGAAAACCCCAGAGGGTCTCTGGACTGCAGAACACCAGGAAAAATTAAAGGCAAGGGTACTGAACCAAAAAAACGTTAGCAGAGGAGTTATTAAACGAAATTTTACACTGACTATTGAGACCACTAGACTTCTTCCCCCATTTTGCTACCCGAAATAACAACAGATTCATACTCTTTAGGCAGAAGACTGGATGAGTCCTTTAGGGGGAACTGAGTAGCCCTCCAAAAAGGAAATAGTGCAAAGAAATGCTCCAGCCGTATCACCCAATGTAGAGGCTTGAGACCCACCCACATATAAAGCTTTCAAACAATTTTTTCCCAGTATGTACAAATGCCTTTGTTTTAAACATATACAATGGTACACATGGGAGTGGGTAGGTTGCTCAAATCCAAGGAAAGGTTACAAAAGATACATAAATATTCACATAAAAAGCATGATGGGAATAATACCATTTCTTAAAGAACAGACAAATTTCATACAAATGAGAGGGTTGTGATAAAGTTTATTTATTTGTTTGTCTATTTATTTAGAGACAGAGTCTCGCTCTGTTGCCCGGGCTAGAGTGCCGTGGCGTCAGCCTAGCTCACAGCAACCTCAAACTCCTGGGCTCAAGTGATCCCACTGCCACAACCCCTGAGTAGCTGGGACTACAGGCCTGCGTCACCATGCCTGGCTAATTTTTTATTTCTATTTTCAGTTGGCTGGCTAATTTTTTCTATTTTTAGTAGAGACAGGGTCTCACTCTTGCTCAGGCTGGTCTCCAACTCCTGAGCTCAAGTGATCCTCCCGCCTTGGCCTCCCAGAGTGCTAGGATTACAGGCATGAGCCACCACGCCCGGCTGTCACAAAGTACTTTAAAGCTCAAGAGCCCACCACAGCACTGAGGTGTGATAGCCGATGTGAGGAGTCTTGCAGGCTTCTCTTTTGTCCATTACTCACCGAAGTCTCATCTGTTTCTTAAGGGGGCCTTTAACGCTGTCTGTTGGACATTCTTTGTGGTCTCCATATCCTCAGATTTTACGGTTTCTGGTATAGGTTCTGCCTCTTTCTTTGTCTGGTCCACTGGGACTGGCTTTTCTTCAGACTTTTGCTGCACAAATTTGGATGGAAATTTTTCTCTGAAGTCTATGAGTAAAGCATCCACATGTCATCTCTGAAAAACAGAGCTTGGTTCTTCTTCCTTTTGGCTTTAAGTTTAACTTTATCTTACTCTTCATCATCTTTGAAATGCCACCAATACCCTTTGGAAGGATGATATCGACACCAGGACATAGCTTCATCAAAAGCTGCTGAATGCCATGCACTGCATTAAGCACTCTAGAGTTCATTTTTTTTTTTTTTTTTTTTTTTGAGACAGAGTCTC